TCATGATCGATAACAAGACGCCAAACCTGTTGATGGCCGTCTGCACCCAAATCGCGTTATCGTTCATATCATGATCGATAACAAGACTTAGGCCGACGACGAGTGTGTCTATAGGACGGTATTTTTGGATTGAAAGTTGCTATTGGGGAGGGTGGGAGGGGATCGTTTTCCACAGCCTGTCGCTTCGTTTCCACCCTTCCGCACTGTCCGCCGCCTCTGAGCGCGCGCCTTGGACTGCCTGACCTGTTTTGCGGCCTGTGTTGTGTACTGTGCGTGTCTTATCTCGCCTCGGCCGAAGCCCGGTCCCCTCCCCCTGGACCCGGGTCGTCAACCGCGCCACGACTCGGGTCTCCTCCCACCCCTCTGCCCCTCCCTCCCTCCTCGTGCTGGCCATCCTCCGCTCCCTCTATTCGAGCCCCAAATCAAGCTAATAGGTGGGCCCTATTACTGATTAGGGTGTCTCATACCGTACGCTCCCCAGATCTGTTGTCCAGTATTGGCTGTTGATGGCCGTCTGCACCCAAATCGCGTTATCGTTCATATCATGATCGATAACAAGACGCCAAACTCGCCAACGTTACTGTGTCAACATGATTCATGCATGTTGCATTGCCGCACCGATACGGTGCAGTCGTACCCGACGCATAAATGAGCCCACATGGTTCAGGCATGTGTGACTTGGCGCTACATCGATATGGTTCAGGCATATCTGACGAACAGCGAGTTTTACAGTGTCAACATGAATCAGGCATGTTGCATTGCCGCACCGATACGGTGCAGGCGTACCCGGCGCATAAATGAGCCCACATGGTTCAGTCATGTGTGGCTTGGCGCTGCGTCGATATGATTCAGGCATATCTGACGAACAGCGAGTTTTACTGGTCAACATGATTCATCATGTTGAATTGCCCCACCGACACGGTGCAGTCGTACCCGGCGCATAAATGAGCTCACATGGTTCAGGCATGTGTAGCTTGAAGCTGCGTCGATATGGTTCAGGCATATCTGACGAACAGCGAGTTTTACTCTGTCAACATGAATCAGGCATGTTGCATTGCCGCACCGATACGGTGCAAGCGTCCCCGGCGCATAAATGAGCCCACATAGTTCAGGCATGTGTGGCTTGGCGCTGCGTCGATATGGTTCAGGCATATCTGACTTACAGCGAGTTTTACTGCGATATGGGTCAGGCAACCGGTCGCCAAATGAGCCCGTGTACCTGACGAACAGTGAATTTAACTGGGTCTGCATGGTTCATGCATGTGGATTGTTGCTGCTCTGCACCGGTATGGGTCAGGCATACCAGGCGCATTAATGAGCCCACACGATTCAGCCATGTGTATAGCAGCGTCGGTACGGTTCTGTCGTACCTGACGAACAGCGAATTTAACTGGGTCAACATGGTTCAGACATGTTGGGTCTCCGCCCTGTGTTACTGTGACATGGACGACGAGCCGGTATATACATCCATACCCAGATGGAGCGGGTGGTAGTGGATCAGTTATTCACTATCAACGACTCTGGACACACACATCTGCCATGTGCGTCTCTGCACAACGGTCTATCCCACTGGTATTGATTCGTTCACAGCATCAGCATGATCCATTCGCTTGACTTTTCGGCGAGTCAGCCATGCAGGCAGCAGGCTCCTTATATGACTAGTATCGCTAGCACGCTAGCCTGACTTACCGGCCATGTCCGTCTCCCTTGGTCCCCCTCTGCTGAGCACCAGGTACTCTGTCGACTGTCGCTCCACAAACCTGTCTCCCGGCCTTGTCTACTTTTCCTGCTCGCTCGTTTTACAGCGCTTAGCTCGACGCGCGATTCCCACTCTCTCGCTTTGTCCGTCACCTCTGCGACCGCACGATCGTTTTCCACAGCCTGTCGCTTCGTTTCCACCCTTCAGCACTGTCCGCCGCCTCTGAGCGCGCGCCTTGGACTGCCCGACCTGTTTTGCGGCCTGTGTACTGTGCGTGTCTTATCTCGCCTCGGCCGCAGCCCGGTCCCCTCCCCCTGGACCCGGGTCGTCAACCGCGCCACGACTCGGGTCTCCTCCCACCCCTCTGCCCCTCCCTCCCTCCTCGTTCTGGCCATCCTCCGCTCCCTCTATTCGAGCCCCAAATCAAGCTACTAGGAGCGTGTGTGTCACGTTCCATTCTGCCTGAATTTCAGTGGCGTTAACTGCATTTATTAAGGCTTCGCTTATTTTGCTCCACGCCGAAGCAGGCCTTTTCTAAGTAAGAAAAGTCAGCACTTTTTTAAAGGCCTACCCCGAAACGAAATTTATGCAATCAGTGCTCATTATTTTAGATGCATGAAGTAGTTAATTTAAGCCGCAAATATGGCTATCGGTCCATCGGAAAATAAATCCACGTATCAGCCACTAATCCACATTCAGCAACAACACGAACAGTGCACACTGCACACTTTCCATGCGAGAATATCGTCACTTTTTAAGTTGACCATCGCCATATGTTTTTATTTTAGTGATGTTTTGAATGTCGCATCGGTCTTTATTCTCTCTGAGGAACAGTAAATATTGTTGGCTGATTGTCATTCTTGTCACACCAATGCACTTCAATTTTCCACTGCACGCTCTCTGGTCGCTGACATGTGCTCAGATAGATTTATACTTTCAGCGATTGTCGCCTCAGTTCCGCCGGACTCGTCATGTCCCAGTGATTCTGCCATCCGTGCGACCTCTGAACCGAACTAAACCCAGCGCCCGCCGACCCGATCGGCTCCGACCCGTCGGCACGGGCCGGTCTGTCTCTGAAGCTGCCGCCACGAGCCGGGGACCATCTGTCGCGCGGATGACAGCTCGGAGCGACGTGGCCGACACAAAGCCGGCGGGTGGCCGTCTGTCTGCCCCCGATAGACTGTATCTGGGCGACGACAATCACTGCCTCGTGCCGAGCCCGCAGAGAGACGAATGGCCGACCTCCCGCCGGCAGCGGCGTGCCCCGCCAGCTGAGCCGCGCGTCCAAGTTTGCGGCACAGGCGCCGGATTTAATTAATGGAAGACAGAACGCGGGGCATTGGCTCCGGCAGCAGGTCTCAACTTTTGTCTCTCGGGCTGGGTCGAACGGAGAACTGCGGGACAAAATGGAGAGTGGGTTTGCTTGGACCCGGTCCTTTGGCGTTTGGCACCGAGTGGCTTTTGCAACCTGAAATTTATGAGAAGGCTAATGAAGCTTAGAAATTGAAAACTCTATGAAACGGCTGCTCTGACATTTGCATTATTTTCGGCAACGTCTGATACCGCTAAGCAGCAGACATGCATTGCTTCGCCGTTTTCGTTATATCACTATGCGCTCTTTCGGAAAACTAAAGGGACACGAGCATATCACAATATTCGTGTTCCTCCATTTTCTTCTTCGCGCAGCTCGGGCATTACCAATTCATGTAAGACTGCTATATAATGCACTTGCACGTATGCAGATATGTACCAAACTAACAAGCTAAATTAGACAGTATGAATAGGACGGCAATGTCAGGGATGCGATTGTGAACCATGGAGACATTCCTATTTCCTCCGAACCACTTTCCATGTCCCAAGCCAAGGCAAAGTGTTGATTCGGAAGTGGCAGCACTCTGTTTTGTGTTTGTTCTGGCGCTTCTTTGATGCTCTCGGGCTAACCGAAGAGCTGTTCCCGTCAGCGCTGTTTTGATAGCCTTAGCCACCGTCCGTCGAAAGCTACATAATACAAAATATGCCAACTTTGACTACGCGCTGTACTTACAACAGGTCGTTGACTGGTGCAGGTCAAACGAGCTGTTGTTTCCTTTTTCAGTCCAATGAGATTGTTTCAATCAGATGGTGGGTGAATTATTTTTTCCCCGGAAGCGTCTAGAAGAGCGTTTGAAGTAGGGGAATCGGTGCTTCTTTGATCAGTGAGCTCAAAGGGGCGTTTACAGAAAATCGCCCGAGCAATAGATAAAAATATGTCAGCTGGGTGGGTTCAGCCCAGTCTTCCCTTACATGCTGATGGTTTCCAAGTGTGAATTGATGGATGCCTAATGTTTTTCTGATAGTAACTTGAATTTTTTAAAGAATGAGGACAGGCGAGTGCTGACACATGCATGCGGTACTCATCCTTCATATTTTCTGCGAATCCCGCAAAAACATTTCATATTGACAAAAGGCTTCACCAAAACCGTTAGGAAACCGGGAAATGTAAAAAAAGTCTCTTCAGGTGATGAAAACCTCTAAAAAATTTCATATTTTTTCCTTGAGCTTCTCATCTCTTACGTCTCCGGTCTCTGTCTATGAACATTAACAAATATATCAAGTTTGCTATGGTCAATTAATAACTTCGATTTTTGCTGATATTTCATTATAAAAGTGTGTTTGGATACTTGGTATGAGCTTGAAAATGATACGTTTTATTATCCAAATAGCTTCAAAAACATGGCATCCCTTAAGAAGGCATTAAGTTACAGCTGAAACAAACGTGATAGAATTCCCTGTGGTAAGCAATAAATGAACACCACCATTTGTGTAGCGACGGATGTTTTTCATGACCAAATGACGCCAACGAACTACGCCCGTAATGTATAAGATGCACACTATATTATGCTTAAGCTTCAATTGCTCCCTGTATTTTACATTCCAAAACATCCACTAAGTATTAACACTTGAGTGTGTTAGCTGACATCCCTCGTCTGAATGTCAAAGCTCGTATGCTGGAACATCAGTAACAACGTTGCTCGATAAATAGCATTATTGACATCGGGAACAAATGACAGGCTCCAGGGCATAAGCGTTTGCCCTGTGGGGTTGATTTGTCATCACACAAAAAAACGATATCGCTCCAGATGACAAACTGTGGTGCGATTCAATCGCTAAAGCGAACGACCAAATTGAAATCCACCGAACGTCCAAATTGAAGTCCCAAAATGAAACTGAAGCTCCGAAGTCCTCTGTAACGGCATTTACGACGACAGCAATCACACTACCCCGCTGGCTATTTGGATCTGATGACATTCTCTTTCCGCAGGTCAAAGCCGTGGCTCTGAAGGAGTTCAACTACACCTACCCAGAGGCGGCGGTCAACACGTTTGTGGCATCATTCTACGAGGCTGTGATGTTGTACGCCTACGCACTGAACGACACTCTCGAACAGGGATACGAGATCAGTAACGGCTCGGCGGTCACGCATGCCATGTGGAATCGCACCTTTCCCGGTGAGCATGTTGAAATTATACCCTGCAGTGGAAGATGCCTCAGTGAGTGACCAGATTCAGATTCAGATTCAGATGTGTATTCACGAATAATCCACAGTACACTGGGGCTTTTCATACTCGCACGTCAGATGATTTCATACTCGCACCAAGTTTTTCTTTGAAAATACCGCTTTCTTTCGGTAAGAACACCGTTTTTATGAGTACGGAGAGAGCGAGGCGAGCTCCAAAATGTTATACGGTAAGTGTAGCGCACTGTATGCGTGCTACGGACACTTCAGGTAGCTCACCCATTCCTCGATTACCCATGCCAACAAAATATGCTACATTTTATCGTTCGGAAATTATCAAAGTACCGAAAGTTTTTATTTTAATTCAAACATTTTAACCCTCGCCCTGGCAGGGGGGGGGGGGTCGATGCGACCCCCCCCTAAGGTTTTTCGAAGATAGCGTAAAAACGGCGGCGCGCAGCGCCGCCAAATTTGGCACAGCCTATGGGGCAACCTTTTTACATATGACCTGAAAATTTCAGGTCCGGGTGACCTTGGGTCAGGTCACCAGGTCAGAAAAACCGGTACAAGGTCATGGTCAAATTTCAATTTTCTTTTTGCACCTGTCCAACTCACAGTTTTGGACTAATTTCCTTCAAACTTTCAGGATGTGCTAAGTTCACCGAGTTGTATAACATATAGTTCGGGTTTTTTGAGGTCACTGACCTGAGGTCAGTTAGAGGTCATTACGTCGTAATGTTAAGCCTATGGGAAAATACTAAATTCGGAAAATACTGGAGATATCCGCTTCGTTCTATCACTTTTGTGCTTTGAAACCACAGTAATTAACAGCAGGTCACTTGGTGCTTCTTTGTTTGGCGTACTTATCCATGGGTCAGGTCAAATGAGGTCAACTGAGGTCAAATGACGTTTTTGCCAATAACTTGGCACATAATGACGCTAGAGCTTAAAAAATGGTGTCATTGTGTTCCTGGTGATCAGCCGAATCGAATGATATGCGATATGATGCAATTTGGTTAACTTGAACTTAATTCATTATTTTAAGTTTACTTAAAATTTAAGAAAAACCTTAAGTACACTTAAGCAAGCTAAAAAGTATATCATTCGACGCGCCTTGACGTGCTGAGTTCACTGGTGCTTTTCTTTTTGCTCTATCTTAATTAGATCAAAAGTTATAAGCGAAAAACTTTTCACCTGTTTTTAGCGAAATTTTTACATTTATACCCCCCAAAACCCCCCTAAATATTGACCTAGAGCAACCAAATTTGCACAGGGGCGAGAACTCCGGGGGGCCCACCTACCTACCAAATTTGGTGTTTCTAGGTGCCATAGGAGCCAATCGCGAGGGGGGGGGGGTCGCATCGACCCCCCCCCCCCCTGCCAGCACTGAGAAAACAGTGTCCCGATTTTCGGGCTCAGAGACCAGTTTTCGGGCTAATGTACCATATTCAAAACAGACAGCACATTTCGAGAATACTTTCTGAGCTAGCGCCACATGGGCTCATACGATCCCTTAAATCGGTATCATTGATCGCAGAAACAGAGCTCAGTCAGTACCCATTATCGGTGTCAAGCTCTAAAACTAGTCTCACTATGATACCAGTTTTCAGCCTGATCCCCATTTTCGAGCTCACCTGATTCCAGTTTGAGGGCTCAAATTGTGTGGTGAAGCCAATATTAGGGCTCACGTCATCGCTTTTCGGGGCTTTGGTAAAAGCTGGATTGCGTCAGCTGGCTGGCCAGCTGGCGACGCACGAAAGGTATTTAATTTTAGATATAGGTACCTAAGCGCGGTAGTAGGATGGACATAAATATTTCAAATGGCTTTAAATGAAAAATTGATTGGTAAATATTCATTCTTTTATATCTAGCATTGATATGTAAGAAGCTCTGCTAGCGCCACCATACGGCGCCAGCTGGCAAAAAATCCAGTTAATACCAGAGCCCGCTTTTCGTCCGATGCAGCCCCTCCTCCCCCTCCCCCGTGTCCAGCAGCTGCGAATAAGACGAAGCCGCGGACAAACTTTTTTTTTTGCTCGGCCAGCCTAGCGCCAGTCTCGAGCGGTGGGACAGTTAACCGGCAATTTTGGCCGGGATGCAAAAGTTACGTTAAACCGGTTTATGTTAACCCGGGAGCAAATAACAACGTGGGAGCCTATCTTAGGTGTGGCAAAGCTAACGGATTACTTACTTGTTGCCGAGGTGCCCAAAGAAGGTACTGGAACCGAAAACACAACATTGGTTCATGTATTTATTAACATTCATACACACAGTCATACTTGTGCAAGGTGTCAGTGTTCGGTTGTGGGGTGTAATAGCCAGGGAAAAAGTTCTATGAACTGAAAAACCCGGCGCCTATTACTTCGCAACATGGTTGTGTATTCAACATGAACTGCAAGGAGTGCAGACGACATTGCCTGTGCTAACTTAACGTCTCACGGGCAGCGCCGCGCTCTGACACCTTGGTCCCAGAAGCGGCGGCGTTTCTGACCGCAAATCGCCGGAGAGCCGGTCGACGCCGTTGAGGGGACTGAGCAGGCCGCTGCCAGCTCCACCTTCACGTCCGCGCGGCGCAGCTCGGTGTGCGGCGGCGGCTCATCGCGCGGGCCGCACCCGTCCGTCCGCTGCACGAGCCGCTTTTCGATCCGACAGCGCAACACCGGCACGCCATTGTGCTGGCTGAGCGGCGGCAGCGGCACGTAGGCAACAAAACAGTAGAAATCGATGGGCCTGGATCGGCGTTGCCAGCAACGCCGGTAGCGGCGCGGTGGGAGGCGCCAGTGCCGCCGTCGGGGACGTGTGCCCTTCGCTGCGCTCATTCGAGTTGGCCGGCCGGCCGCGCGGCGTAGTCCTTTTGACACGGTGCGAGAAGAGCCGGATGAAGGTGGACTTTTTATTGGCGTTGCTGGTGCTCACGCCGCCGGCGTCCAGTTTGGGCGGCAAGTCCGAGTACCAGGAGTCGGACAAGTCCCGCGCGAACGCCGCCAGCCGGTCGTCGTCACTGCTGGCGGCGGCCCGCCGACGGCGCTGCCTCAGAATCGGACGAGTCGGTGGTACTGAGCACCTCGCGGGACGGGTAGCTGGGAGTGGGCCGGCCGCGGCCCCTGCCAGGCCGCGCCACCTTCACCGGCGCAGCCGCCTTCAAACTGCCCTTGCTGGGCGGCGGGTTGGTCGGCGGAGGCGGCAGCGGTGCCTCGACGTCAGTCCGAGTCGCTGTCACTGGGCGGCCGCCGCGGAGACGGCTTCTGTTTGACCCGCAGCCGGCCTGGGCCGGCTCGGCGCCCTCGGCCGGCGGCGCGCGCCGTTTCGAGCGTTTCACCTTTTCACTGTTACTCTCGCCTGGTCCTGAGCGTCGAGCGGCTCGGCGCTGTTCGGTTTCATGTGGCCCATGCTGCTGGGAAACTCGGGTGGGGACAGCTTTCTGACTGGAGTGCCGTCGAAGATGGAGGAGACGGGGGTGCTCGCAGAGTCCTTGCCCAATGCCCATGATAGAGCCGAGGCTCCACTGGACGCCCAGCTTAATCGGGCTATCGCCGCCCTCCTTCTATGGTGGATTCTTCGGCCCCCTACAGCCACTAGGGCCATCATATACTCCCAGATGGCGGCACCTAGGGGATGAGGGGGGGGGGTGTCTGGGCCACTTGTCCACCTCGTGGCGTCGCCAGCGACGCCTGCGAGTCGGAGCAAATGATTATGGGGTCTTCCTCGAAGGACGGGTGCTTCAGGAGATGTTGCTTTGCCGTTTTGGGCGCCACCATCTCAGATCGGTAAATGGAGCAAATCCTCCCCGCCGCCTCCCGCAGTACCAATGTTGTACTGTCTGGGTGCTCGGTGAGGACCCCAGCGCCGCCTTCCTATTACTCCCCCGGTCGCAGACCCGTCGACCCAGGCCCACGTCGCACGCTGGGGGAGCGCTCCCAGTCACGCCTCCGCAGCACTCCTCCTCGCTGTCGCGGACGCCCCGATCGGCAGCAGGTCCAGGTGGACCGTGACGCCGTCTGTTGGCGTCTACGGGGGCAGTCTCGTGGATAAGCGCGCCTCGGCGGGCAGCGCCACTCCAGTGGTCCCACACCGCTCCCCCGCGCTCTCTCCAGCCGGTCACTGACTTCAGTCACGGTTGGGGGGGGGCTTCCGCCACGACGCGGCGGGTCCTCCGACGGGAGGGAGAGCGCCTTCGCCAGTAGGCGCGATGCCAGCGCATCCCTCCTCATCTCTCCATCGGCACGACGCCCGCCTCGGCCCTCACGGCGAGTCTTGGAGCATGGAAATCGGGCAGCCAGTGATGACTCATGCCACCATCAGCATCTCCGCCTCCAGGACGCCAAGATGTGTGGCCGCAGCCGCAGGCAGCCACGCCGACCCCGCTGCCCGCATGCCCAAGTAGTCTCGAATCGCTGACACCTCTCCTGAAACAAGAGTGGTGTCGTAAACTTAAACCCCTTGCTGGAGCCCGCCAGCCGCGACAACACCGCCACACCAATTTTTGTGACCCCGGAACTTCCGTCCCGAGCCTTATTTCACGGCACGATGCTACAGTGCGCTACACGTATTGTGGTATTCAGCTTCCATGGAAACATCAACTAATTTGGACGCTCAAACATGGGAGTCAGGAGTGGTTAAGGCCCAGAGCGTTCTGTCTGGTTTATAAAACCTTGGCCAGCAGATGTAAACGTGCTTTTTGTATAAGTGGCTTAATTTTGACGCGAAAGGGCACTAACCTTCGGCGCAAATAATGCAGAAATTTCAGCGCAAATTGCAAAATAGCTTGCGCCGAACTTCGGCGCATGACGGCTTCACGGGCGTCCGGCGTACCATATGGATGTTTTCCAGTTTGGGCTGCAGGTTTTAGCTCTAGGTTTTAGACTGTAGGTTTTGGGTTGGGTTGGGCTGGGCTGGGCTGGGCTGGGCTGGGCTGGGCTGGGCTGGGTTGGGCTGGGCTGGGCTGGTTGGGGTGGTTGGGTTGGGTTGGATTAGGTTAGGTAAGTTTAGGTT